ATAGTGTTGTAGGGAGTGATGATGTCATCAATGCCCTTATATGATAAACTTTATATATATATATATATATATATATATATATTAGATTTTTATTTTTTATTTTTTATTTTATTTTTTATCTTTTAACATATATAATTGCCTGAAACATTCAATGCCGTGCAGATTTCAAAGTTTCACAACTTTGAGTTTAAGATCTTTAAGTATTCACTACTCTAAGAATCATGATTAAAATCAAATAAAATAATCCAGATAAATCAAGATTTTGATATATAATTTTGAGGATCAACTTTTGCATAAAATCAACGACTCAATATGTGTATATAAATTCTATAGATTTACCATTTTCTTAATTTCTACAAGAAAAACCTTGGCCTTAATCATGGCTCTTGGGTTTTGATTCAATAATAGAAATCAAGAAGAAAACATTAATTAAAGAGGCGAAGTCGGCAATCGTACCTTGATCGAAGATTAAACCATTGGAATACCTTTTAATTCCTTTGAATATTTGCTTGCAAAATTGTCTGGAACACTCCTTTGGCGATTAGCCTTTGGTTTGTTGTCCTTTGTCCAAAGGCCGTTCGGCGTGTTATGCATTGTGGTTGGACGGCTGCACTTGTTGTGCAAAGATCTGACCATGTGAGGAACATAACTTTCGGACGTCTGCAGGCATGGAAACCTTCGGTACCAGTCTGGCGGTTAAAAAGGGTTGGGTTGAAATCCCATCCCGCATCATGCCTCTGGTGGACTTTGAATTCGTATGAATGCATCACATCAGTGCCAAAGTGTAGGTGCAAAAATTCGTCAACTTAGAAGAGTCAACGCAAAAAAGCAATGCACTGAAATAAAATGATAGATTCAAGGAAAAATAATAAAAATGGTGCAAATGTTGCATATATATTTTATTTGGGACCTTGCCCCTATTTATACAAATATACTTATATTAGGATAAGACTCGTCTTGCTTGTTCTCTACGATTTTGTTCATCATTATACTTCTACATTTTGTTTCATACAAAGCTTTTCTTCTATACAGGGCTTTTTCTTCATATAGATTCTATTATGTGAGGCTTTTTTTCGATGCCGTGATTGATTTGATCTGAATCATGGATAATGTTTGTCCAGGCTGTATGTTTGACCGAGAATAGATTAAGCTGATCTTGTGATGGGTTGATGATAATTCTTTTGGGCTTGATCAAACTATGTTCGGCCGGAGAGATAACTTCGATCAGTCTTATAACGGGCTGAGATACCGACGAAGGTTCTTCTGAGCTGGGCCTCTTTTTTAGGCCTTGGAAGGACCCTAATTTGCTTAATTCAAAGCAGTTGTATTGGGCGGGACCCTTGTTAGCTGATGTGGCTTGCCTTAATGGGAAGGAGAGATTTTTGCTCCCATAATATATACACACACACACATAAATATAAGCATATACATTAATATTAAATTGATGTATATAATTTTTAAGCCAATCAGTTAAAAAAAATCCTGAATGCACTGGCTCCTTTTATTATTATTTTTTCAGTGGTAATATAAAATAAAATAAAATAAATTTATTTGGCCCCCAAACCGGAGAGTCCTGGCTTACCTGAGCTTCAATGCGATTAGAGTGTCTTTGTTTTTAATTAACACTTGACCTCCAAATAAGAATACAACTGTCTTAGAGGTTCGTCAAAGCTCATTTTCAAACTATTTTTTAATATTTTTATATCAAATTATATTTCAGTGGGAAAAAAAAAAAAAAAAAAACCATCAGACGAATTACTTAAAAATATTAGCAAATATTGATGTTATAACGGAAAACCTACAGAATTGTGCAATAAGTCAAATTCTAAATTAAGCAAATGAAGCTAGAAATCTACGAGGGAATATGTTCGCCAATCAACAAAATATTCTCTACTTACTGTATGAATTAGGGGAGAAAATTTGCTCCAAATATAAAGGCTATGCAATCGACATCAATAACGGAGAAGATAGCGTAATTCCATTAGAATTTCAAGTTCCGCTAAAAATCCCTAGCTAACAAAGTCAGTCTCTTAGCATATGTGTTGGAAAAACTATAACCAGCACTTACCATTTTAATATTTTATGACATTAAATCAAGAAAGCACCCATAGCAACACGGAACACAAGTTACAGCATATCTTTAAAAAGTAAGACACAGGTACGATTTAAGTCACATAATTTTTCTCAACGGGTATCGCTCTTATACTCCGAGCGTACTTATGACTTAATTCTGTCACTTTCGAATTCGCTCTCGTTTTCGTTCCCGCTTTATGTGACTTAGAATAAGACATGAATATGTCAAAAAATAATTTTATATATATATATATATATATATATATATATATATATAATTTTTTGGTCATTTTATCCCAATAATCATGAATAAAATAATTAATTCGGAGCGAAGAGCTAGATGCTTGTTATTTTTGTTTTTATTAAATTTTATATTGTTTTTCTAATTAACGCATAAAATATATAAATTGCATTGAATCTCATTCTCCTAAAAATATAAATACAAAACTACTAAGGGTCGTATTAATGTCTTGTGCATTTAGTGTCTAACCAAAAAATAAAATATTTAATTTTCAAGATACTTTTAAACGCATCTAAACACGTGTCCAAGTCCTATCTGCATATTCGATAAGTGTTCGAGTATTTGATATTGTCACGACATCATAACGAAGTATCATGTTTGTCCCAAGCCTAATGAATCCATGACAGGGGCTTAATACGCAGGACAACAACAAAGAAGTTGGATGTCAAAATCATTTTAAGAGGAAATTAATGAATCACGTGAACTGAAAAATTAGGGTTTTATCATTTATAATTTCTTACACTATTTTAAAATGTCGAAAATGTATTAATGTCTTGTTAATTATGTATCCAACCAAAAAATAAAATATTTAATTTTCAAGATATTCTTAAACGTATTTGAACATGTATCCAGGTCATGTCCGCAATTCAATGACTGTCTGAGTATTTGATACTGTCACGCCATCATAAAAGAAGTATCATATCTGTGTTTCCTAAGCCTCAAATATATCCATGATAGGGGCTTAGTACGCAAGACAACAAGAAGAAAGTTGGATGTCAAAATCATTTTAAGAGGAAATTAATAATTCGCGTGAATTGAAGTCTTTTGATAAAGAATCAAGATTAAGTAAAACCATGATCTATAGATTTATAAAGTGTGGTAATGTGGGATGGATTCACAGTAACACTCCTTGTTTTTTATTAAGTGAAAAAAAAAAAAATCTAAGATGTCTAGTATTACTTAAAAAAAAGAAGAAGGTAATTATCCAACTTTGGTCAAATTACCTGGAATGCTTGGTCACAAATTTAAATATAAATCTAAATTTACTTTTGTTTTGTATGAAGTGATTGTTTTCATAATTTAGATCGATTTTTAACAATAATTCATATGTTTTTGTTTTTACAATATCTTTTTTTAAAAAACAAACAAACAAATATATATTTACACACACTTACCTCTAACTTTATCAATAGATCCTCTCTTCTTAAAACTGAAGTGACATGGTATAAATATTGTACCAGGACATAAATGTGTTGTCCCACCAAGGAGAAATGGAGTCAACAAATTGTTTTTTCTCATTTATTTAGTGAAAGAGTCAAAATATTTATTTAGTGAAATAGTCAAAAAAAAGAATTGTCACCATTAATGTCATAATATATGACTATGGCAAAAATGCGCACTAAATTCCGGGGCCGCTGCACAAATGGACAAACTTTTAAAGGAAAAAAGAGTCCATTGCTCTGCACGTGGCATGAATGAGTCAGGAAAGAGAGCATTAAGGTGGGACCCAGATCTAGAACCAAATCCCACGCAGAAATTGTCCAAAAAATACAGAATAAAAGGTTACTTCCACGTCTACGTCTCAACGAGCTTAATTCAGACTGCCCATAACAAAGACAAACTTCCAAAAAAATTCTATTTTTATAATATTTATTAAAAAATATAAATAAGCTTAAGGTTCTATAATGAATATAATAAGTGAGGAAGGGGTTATTTAATTTAGTTATCTCAAAATTAATTTCAAATATAAAGTTTCATGTATAAAACCCATGGGCCTTGGCTACATTTTTTTAACTCAACTTATAGAAAATAATTTTTAATTTTTTTAACCAAATAAATATTGAATCATTATGTTCTATTATCTTAAAAGATATTTTTTTTCTTTGAAATCTAAAAAGAAACATAACCTTTTACTTTAGGTTGTTTTGGAAGAGCCACTATTATCTACTTATATTTCTAATATCTTGTAGATATTTGCAGTATTTTTATATAATTTGTTCACATACAAAGGTAAAATTGCATGTATTTGACTCATCTTGATCTTCAAACTTTACAATAACAGAAGCCTCTTGAATTAATCCTTTTAAACATTCTTTGTTTTGTTCATCACTTGGTAAGTGTTAATGTATTTATATAATATGTGATTATGAAAGTTAAATGTCAATGTAAATATACCTTAGTTTATGCTACCTCATTAATTAACTAATTAAATCTAACACGACATGTGCATCAATAAGCTGGCTAAGCAAAAAAAATTTAAATTAAAATATATAGATCGTCCAACAACAAACAGATCGAACTCTCTTGCATGACGTATATCTATATCTATATTATATGTGTATATTATCTATGACTGTGGCAACCTTTTCCTTTTTTGTCCGGGCTGCTCCTCTAGAAATTATAACTCTTCTAGAGTGCCGAAAGAGAATCAGCCTCTCTCACTCAATTTCTTATTTATTTCTATTCATCTAGAAGCCATACCCATCAACCCTTGTAACACGCCATATTTCTCTCTCTCTAAAACCCTTTCTCTCTCATATCATATACATATATATATATAACCCTATAGTGTCCTACAAGTAATCGCAAACAACCCACTTCCTTCCAAAAACAGTCTCTCTCCCTAGCACCATTTATTCTTATTATCCATTGATGCTTTACTAAAGAGTCCTACCAAGTCTCATTAATGGACCAAAATCCTAACCCTAACCCTAACCCTAAGATGCAGGACTTAGATGAAGCAGAAGAAACACTCTCTCTTTGTGATCTTCCAATATATAGGGACGCATCGGAGTCCGAAAACTTCTTCAAAGAATATCAAAGCTCATCATGGTCCTCCGATCAAGACTACTTCGAGTTCTTCAGTGAAGAATGGAGTACTCCTACTACTACTTATCCACCTGACAACAACATTATTTTCTGTGGAAAGCTCATTCCTTACAAACAACCAGTGTCCATTGACACCCACAAGCTCGAAAGCACCAACCACAAAAACCCGAAAAGGCGAGGCCTTTTCCGGTGGAAATCAGAGTCTCTTAACAAAGCTAAAACCTCTGCCAGAGGTACTAAAGGTCCATGCAAGCAAAAAAAAGTGTCTAAATTATTATATGTTTCCAGCCCAAGTAAGTCATTGTCATCATCCCCGGTGTTGGAGAAATATACACGTGGTTCCGGAAGGTATGGTGTTTCAGTTCGGAAGGTGTCGGTGGTGGCGCCGCCGGCGAAGTATAGGTGGTACTTGTTTATGTTTGGGTTGGCAAGGTTTCCAACGAAGATGGAATTGGGTGATATGAGGAACAGGCAGTCCCGCCGTGGTCCTTCGGCGTTGTTTCGATTGGACAGTGGTGGTGAGAAGGCGGGTGGCTGTAGGAGGAGGTGGAAGGGGTTGTGGTGGGGGCTGATTAGGGCCGTGGGTTTCGGAGGCCGCCACCATGCAAACACCGTCGTTTAGGCATCGTTTGGTTGCATGCCTCGCGTGTGAAAGGGATTGGTCCTCGCACGTGCTTTTCCAGCATGCCAACATTGACTTGCAAAGCCCTCGACAACATGGAGAAATCCATGCCCACTCTCATTTTTGTGGCATAAGATACACGCACTCATCCTAGCCAATCAATCTATTTTAGAATTTTGGGAGAGAGAAACAATGAGATACATCATCCATGTGTACAGTGGTTTACCACAATATTAGTTGGATTGTGATTACCAAACACCACTAATGCTATGAAAGTGATATGCAATTATATATGCATCTTTTGATTTGAAATTATCCTTTAGCATCATGTTTTCAAAAGCATCTTTGCTTTTCAATATAATACCATATTATTCATTAAAATGTATAAACGATCTCTATCTTTTACTTGATCATGTTGAGTTGGTATATAACCTTTTCCCAAAAATAAAAAAATAAAAAAAAGGTTGATTTGGAATACCCCTCAATCACATGTTACTCAAATCACCAAATGACAAGGTTTACAATTCTCATATTTTTTATGCTAAACCTCAAAAATGGTGTTACATTAGGCTTAAGAGGGCTGCTCAATTAGCGTTTGGGAAGAAACACAACTCATGCACATTTTTGGTCCACACACTTGAATTCGAAACTCTCTTATTGTTTTTTGAGGAGGAGGAGGAGGTTATATCATTAAACTAGATACTCTTTGATAAATTCTCAAACTATTAAGTATCTTGTTATTTTGTAGATTTTATAAGAAGCGACAACATATTAATGGTCCATAAATCATTTTTCAGTGTTTGATTATTAATTTAAAATAATATAAAATAGGAAAGATGAGTGCTAGCAGCAGTCGATAAGGAGATTGTCTCTCAACACTCGCCTTTTGTATGTGATTGGTCAAAAATCAATCACTTTACATTCCAACTTTAATCACAGAAAGTGAGTGTCGAGAATTAGGGATATTAATTCCCTCAAGCTTATTTCATAATCGATTGTGGTTGAGAAATATTAAATATCTCTCTCATGATATTAAATATCTCTCTCATGATACACGTATAATATCATCATCACATCCAACAAGCCATTCACGTTTCTTTTAAAAGGTCAGAGCAAAGAAAGACGTATTTTTTTTGTCTTTTCTTTCTATCTTTTATCTGTCTAAAATGCCCTTTTCCAGATTATGTAATGATGTACCGTTTCTCTCATGCTCAACCAAACAATACGTGTAAAAACTCTTTTCTTGAATATTCCTTCCCTTAAAAAAAAAACAATCTCTCTAGGCAACAAGCAAAGACAAATAGATTTTTGCATTAAAGGGGACATAAACAATAATAAAATAACTATGATATAAATATTGTAAATGAGACGAACACTAGAGAAGGATGTCATGATTGGAGTACAATTATAAAGAGAGAATGTGCAATAATTAACAATGACATCAAGATAGTGGCAAACATGTCAAAAGGCATATTAAATCTCACACAGTCACACAGTTGACATTAGCCTTATTTTAAGGGCGTCTAATTTCATATGTTTTTCTAAAAGCAGACAAGCTTACATTGGCAGAAGGAATCCTTTCAGTTTATACCCTTGGAGAAGCAACCTTCACAAATTACAACCATATATTACTTTATAATATATTATAAGTATGAAATATAGTACAAAGTATATTTAGCATGTGCCAGTTTTATACAAATGCATGGGCATTTATTTATTCCTTAATATTAACTAAGCAAAAGTGCAAACAACCCCCTTAAATTATCACAAATTGACATTTTACCTCCCTAGACTACAAAAATGAACAAATTAGTATCACAACTATCTAAATCTGTGCAAGTAAACTCCTGAAACTCAATTCCGGCCACTTTCTAACCGACTTCATTGTAAATTTACAAAACTACTCATTGTAATTAAGAAAAAAAAAAAAAAAAACGAAAATAAATAATCAGCGTGAATCCGACAAAGAATGATGATGGCGACAGAGAGACTGAATTGGCGGCAAGGACTGAATCGGAGATGTGCAATTTCAGGGAAGGATTCCTGGTACGGCCGGCTGGTGCAGTGATGGCGATGGTGGCATGGGCCAGCGATGGGGAGTGGAGAGGACCGGTTTGCCGACTGGTGCAGCGATGACGATGGCGGCATGGGCCAGCGATAGGCCGTGGACAGGTCGGTTGTGACTTTGCGGCGCAGCACCGGCGAGCAAGGAGAACTCGGCTGTGAGCTTCTCGGTGGTGAGTTTGGCTGTGATGAACTCGCGGCGCGGCATCGGAAAACAAGAATTGGCCGGTTGGTTCGCCGGCGCCTATGGCCGTGATTAAATTTGGCAGAAACACGGAGGCGACGTACAGCAGTGGAATCGGTCTTGATCGGATCGGTATTAGTGATCAAGATGGTGCGAAACTCATCTTCGAGTCGAGCCATGGCGATCTGGATCGCCGTGTTGGCTTTGTTCTGGTTGTTAGCGATCGTCGCCGACTCCATAGAGCGTTGAATCTCGTCGACAGCCTGCAAGTAGCGATCGATCTCATGGCGGTCACCGTTGAAGATCATGCGTTCTCTGGCGTCCTCCGACGCCGTAGAGTCCCACCGGAGGATGATCTTCTTGGCCAATTCAAACGCGACGGCGAGGTTCTCCGGCGATTCCATAACCGGAAATATAGTGATTTAATCAATAACAGCTTTGAAAAATCAGAATCTAGAAAGGGAATGGTGATTTTTATTTTCCTTTTTTTTTTCTTTATCTAATATCTTTCTCTGTCTGTCTGTCTGTCTGAGATAATAGCTAATAATTTTTGTGCTTTGTGGCAGTGGGCCTTTGACTTGTTAGAATTATGGTTTCTCTGAATTGAGAGACGTTTAAAAATTAAACAAACCAAATTTGACCACAGGACCACCGTATCATCAATGTCTACTCCTATCTTTTACTGTGAGCATAGTGATGATCTTCTGGGTTCGCCGACGACCATGGCTGTGATTGAATGTGGCAGAAACACAACGGCAAGGTGGAGCAGTGGAATCGATAAGGGAATGAACTGAAAAGTGAGGAACATGATGATGAAATTTCCATTGAAAGATGGGTTTGTAATTGTTTGAGTCTGTAGTGATAATTCATGAACAACCCACAACATTTCTCTCACTCTAAATCTCTCTCTCCTTCCATAACCATCCATTTTTCATTGCTTTTTCTTTCCTTTTCCTTTTTGATTGCTATTTGTTATTACCCTCTGCAAGTCTCCCTTTTGATTTGTTATATTATACGGAGTAATTGGGTTCTTCATTTCCTTTTTCTTTCTTGCATTCCTTGATTGAACCAACACTGGTCATCAGAGGTTTAAGGCGACGAGGGTAATAACAAATAAATAATAGTATTAATAAGTATTCTAAGATAATTTTGGAATTAAAAGAAAAGGACCGCACTTGTGGGACGGAAAGTGGCCGGAATTGAGCTTCAGGGGTTAACTTGCACGGATTTGGATAGTTATGGTATTGATTTGTTCATTTTTGTAGTCCAGGGAGTAAAATGCCGATTTGTGATAATTTAGGGGGGTTGTTTGCACTTTTGCCTATTAACTAATGAAGTTATAGCTATTTATTATTTGGAGAATAAAAAAAATTAACCAACTTATGCCCACCTCTGCTCTTAAGTTATAGGGTTTGACAATTGGAAATTTTTATTCCACAAATGAAGAGTATGCCCTAAACACGTAAAAGATTTTCATATAATTCATGACAAATTTCATTGAGTGCGTTACATAAGGATTATTGTCGCGACAATCATGAGCAGCGTTAGCATAATTCAATTTCACGAGTAATAAATGTGCAAAATTCAGGAAAAAAACGGTGCATTTTATTATTTTAGAAAAAAAGTCATCCAATTGTTAATGCCGGCCTAGTGACAAAGAACTCTGCTCTTAAGTTTGGGGCTTGACAATTGGAAATTTTAATTCCAAAAATGAAGAGTATGCTCACACATAAAAGATTTTCAAATAATTCAAGACAAATACCATTGGGTACGACTAGTTCACCTCATTCATGAGATGAGGGTTATAGTCGCGAAAATCATGATTTAGTGCTAGCATAATTCAATTTCATCAGTGATAAGTGTGAAAATTTAAGAGAAACACGCTGCAATATTTTTTTAAAAAATATCATCGGAAGTGTTTATGCCGACCTAATGACATGTATGTCCTGCATACATAAAAGATTTTCAAATAATTCAAGACAAATTCCATTGAGTAAGACTAGTACACTTCATTTATGAGATGAAGGTTACACTCGCGACTATCATGACTAGTGTTAGCATAATTCAATTTCATCAGTGACAAGTGTGAAAAATTTAGAGAAATAGGATGCAATATTCTTTATAAAAAATCATCGAAAATGTTTATGCTGCCCTAATGACATGTGTGTCTTGCATAAATAAAAGATTTTCAAATAATTCAAAACAAATCCATTGACTACTACTAGTTCTCATCATTCATGAGGGATTACAGACTTTACAGTCCCTACAATCAGTGTTAGCATAATTCAATCCCATGGTTGACTTTCTAGATTTAAAACAAGATTGTGGGCGCTTTCACATTCTTCTTTTTTATCTTAAAATTATGTTTTCCAACTTAATAGAATTTGAATGTTCACTAAACACTTTGAGAAGTAGAAAAAATATTACTAGATCATAAGACCCTTGATACACCTTAACAAAAATAAATCAACTCTAATTTTTGTTTTAATCTCTTCTACCATTGCATCATAAAATGAATCACTAGATTTAAAAGTATTTGTAGTCATTCGTTGCACCACGTCACCGTTGCAACTATTATAATAAATAATTTCTCCGATTCATTATTGAATGTGGTATCAATTGAACTAAGCATTTGGTGGTCGTTTAACTGAATTTTCAAAATAAAAGGATAGAGGATTTTTGTTTTCCTGTAAATAAAATAAATTATATATAGCAGAAAAGAAAACTGTAAATGAAGCATGGGCTAAACAAG